TGGGAGTTGAAGTCCACTCATCTTAAAGTGGCCAAGTTTGGACAACACTGCTCTACCCAGTGTAGCACTCAATGGGAAAAAGTTATTAATTGTATAGAATATACTCTAAATGTCTCACTCTTGCTGCACAGCTTAGCAAAGGGGAAGGAGAGTTTAGAAAGCACTGAAATAGTTTTTATTGATGATGTCTTACCCTTCAATCCACAAGGGAGGACCCTGGATTATCTTATAAAGAGAGGCCTGATTCACCACAGTGGAGCCTGTAGTTGTGAATAATACTTTGTATGTGAGTCCCACACATTTTATAAGTTGATCATACTCAGACCCAAGCAGGATTACCCACCTAGCACATGCAGATTTTGTGATGGCCATTCAGATAGTACTGGAAATATTAATAGCCTGCTCCCAGTCATCCCAGAATTAGCCATTTCCCTGTCCCTACAATGGGATTTGGGTTGACTTCCAGGTGAACTTTTAATCCTAACTAACACAACCATGAACATTAGCTGATTTTTGTGTGACAATGTCTTCCAGAAAATTCACTCACACTACAACAGTAGATGAAAGTCTACAGGTAGATCTCTTGGTTAACTAAATAACTCGGCAAGGGTGATTTTTCCATCTAAATTAGCTTGTTGAAATGAAGAAAGTTTAGATGTGAATTTTGAACAGAGGAACTGTGAACTGAGATGAATTCTACACTAAACCCTTGATTCAATGAATTAATGCAGGAAGAGTGTCCTTTAAAGCCAGATAAATGACCATCTCACTCTGTTAAATGAAAACTGGAGTATTTTTTAGCCCCAAAACATACTTGTATATAATATGAGATTTGTATATGTATGTGAGTGCCTCCAAGTCAGTGCTAACTCCTGACAACTGCCTGGATGTATCCCTGCAGTTATTTTAGCAAGATTTTTAGAAGTGATTTGCCATTGCTTTCTTCTTAGCGGTGAGAGGGAATGACTGGCCCAAAGTCACTCAAGTGCCTTCAAGCCTGAGGCAGGACTAGAACTCAGTCTCCAGGTTTCTAGCCTGGTGCCTTAACCACTACACCAAACTGGCTCTCAAGAAAAGAATTCCATATAGTATTCCCAATAGCAGAGAATACCCATTTTGAGGGGAAGCAGCAAGTGTTGTCCAAACAATAGATTTTGCCCATTGTTGGGGAGGAAATCTATTATTGCTTGTAATCAGAACAAAACTCAGATCCTGTAGATTTTGTCAAATCAGAAGTCCCTTAAGCCAAGATTCATTGAATCAATTATTTATTGTATTAAAAACAATTCTCTGTATTAATGTAACCACATAAACCAGCTAGTTTAGCCAATAGAAGTCTTCACTCAAGGAGAGTTAAGGAGAAAACAGACAGCCTGTTTGTGTGTGCATATTAATTAAGGGCCCTTGTCGCTTTTTATTCAAGGCAAATTAAATTGATACATTATATAAATGCATAGTTGATTACCTTTGCTCACTTTAAATCTGTGCAAGGTTTCATTTCAACTTAGCCCCTATAAAATTCACAAGAAGAAATTACACCTGGATACACCAAGCTCTTTATTTCTGCCTATGTTTTTGTACCTGGCTGTAAGATATCAAGCTTCTAATAATAATAATAATTTTTTAAAAAGCCAAAGCTATCTAATACATCAGTGTTTCTATTCCTGCTCTAAACCAAGGGCAGACAGAAGAGATTTTCCATAGGGTAGAACAGCAAAAAGGAGAACAGCCAGTCCAGGTTCTAGTAACACATTTATCAGCTGATCATGTGCTCAGAAGTATCTTCTGCTATTTTATTTCTGCCTTCTTGGGCTATTTTGCAGTCCTGGAGAATCTGAAACCTCGTGCAGTATTTGGTAAAACAAAAACCTCTGAGTTGACTTTACAGGCAATGATATGAAAATGGTTCGCCATAACTTTCTTCCAGATATTTTCTTTTTAATTTCCCAATCCTGGGATATCTAGATCCAACCCCGCCTAGCTTACTGACATCAGCCAAGGTTGTCCAGACGCTGGTCCGTACCTGGGACTAATTGCAAGCTCTATGTGATAACTAGCATCTGGATTCCAGTTATCTAGCATCAAGATACAAAGCCTACTAAAGCGGCTAGCCTTCCGTGGCACGTGCTCGGTGCGGGGAAATTAGTAGAACCCCCCACACACACACCTATCTCTGCAGATCCAGTCCTGACGGCACCCCCTCCCCGGTTTAGCCCGTAGAAACGGAAGTATTAGAGCGAAAGCTAAAGTCTAGGCAAAGGGCCAGAGCCTGGCATTCACACGACCAAGATTTCCACCTGATTTTTTTCCCCGCACAAAGAAAAAAGCGGGCGGGCCGTGATTAACAAGAGGCAAAAAGCCCCCACCCCAAAGAGGGTCTCCCTATCCCAGGGGCGGGGCTTTTATAAAGGTAGCTTTAAAGGCGCAGAGAGAACCGACAGTTTCAAACGCGCGCCGCCCGTTTCTCTCCCCCGCCGCCGCCCACGTTTCCCCACAGCAAAGCCCCTCTTCCTCGGCGCGGCGCACGCCGCAGCCCCTGCGCCGCTCTCTCCCCCGCACGCATCCGTTACCCGTCTTTCTTCCCCTCCTCCTCCTCCTCCCGCCAAACCCGTGACAGCCTTCGAGGCACGCCCTACCAGGCCAGAGCCGCTGCTTCGGAGGGAGCCTGAGGGGCGACCGCGCGCTGCCTCAGCCTCCGCCGCCCTCGCCCGCCAGCCAACGCGACGGCGTCGGATTCACCGCAGCCGCGCGGGTGGCCGGGCC